GGCAAATTTAAAAGGGTTGCAGCTCTTTGTTTATTTGTCCCAGGGAAGCCAAACAATGTACATTTTAAACCCTTAATTTTAATATTTTTTTATTTAAAAATATTGTTTGTTTGGCGTACAAGTTTCCTTTGGGGATAAATTGGATTCACTTTTTAAGGGAAAAAATTTAAAGATTCCAAAACCGGTGCTAGAATAGACAAGGGTTACTTTTTCCCATTTCCCTCATTACAACTCAAAAAAACCCCGAGCCTCAAATTCAAAATTTTTCCCCTTTTTTAATGTTTTCAAAACACCCTTTTTTAAAACTTATACTGTCATAAAATAAAAGGAAAAACCAGACATTTTTTTTTAAACGAAAAATCCTGTTTTTTTTTCAAAATGATATTTTTAGTATAATGTAAAAATAAATTTATGATGCCAAAATTTAAAATTTTCATTATACTTTCACCCTTTTTCGTGAATGTAAAATAACTATTATTGATGATACCTTGTGTACCAATTTTGTAAACAAAGTATTTGAAAAGGGTAATGGAAATGTTCGCATTTACAGACAGTTATATTCATTTATTCATTACAAACGTAAGGATGTATGTTTTAGATAGATAAAATTCATTAATATTAATTTGAATCATTCGTAAATTAGTGCGCCTGAATTGATATTCACCCCTTCCCCATTTTTCTTTTATTTTTTGGCGTCTTATTACAGTTTCAAAAAAGTTACCCATTGGCCATATCCCTAAGCCAGAATTTTTATTACTATTTCATTTTGGTGAGTATTACACATATAGTATGCATAGAAGTCAAAACAACTCTTTATTAACATTTTGATTTGAAAAACAGGCAACATTTCCCATGGGTGATTATACAATATTCAAGTAGGAATACTAGAACCACCCAACTCAAAAAGTGCAAAGAGAAAAGAAAATAACACATCGATTGATCGATTGTACGGGGCGACATTTTACAACCTCCACATAGCACATGCAACAACGATGTGACAATTATATGAACACCTAAAGCAATAAAATTGAAAATGATGCTCGCCGTTACAAAAGGTTAACACTTCCGAATATAAATGAAAATGTCTTGTTTATTTTTTAATTTGCAGCAAAATTGTGACATTTCATATAATAACCTTGGCAAAGAGCAAATTAAAACAATTGCATACCTTTTGGTGCATTCATTCTTAACTATTACAACTTAATATCACAGTACATCAGACTATATATCTTTAAAATGAAGTTTTTTTCTAATATAACTTTAATGTTCGATCTTTCAAAAACCTTCAAATCAAGATATTTTACGGCTCTCATTTCTTAATCACAAATATTATAATCATAATTTGATAGTATATCTAATACGATTACTTGTTATATTGAATGTTTTCACAAATTGAATTTTGTCAGATGTTTAAGAAAAAATTTCAAGGAATATTGTGATCAATGATTGAATGTGATAAAATGTGACATGCTCTAACTGATAATTTTTTGTATCAACTGACAACGCAGATAAAAGGAAAATCGTTCAGATCCTGTTCATGCATGTTACTACACACTCTCTAGAAAAGCAGTTCAACTTTAATAATTTATTAAATACAATTCATCTCGAAATTCATTACATAAACAGAAACATTTAACAAGATCACATTATAAACAGACAAAATAAAGACATAAAGTGTTTTCTTAAAATGCGAAATACTAGTAGACTTTTGGTTGCTTGTTAAATAGTGCCAAATAATCTACAGTTTATCTTAAACCTTCGTTATCCGCAATGTAAACGGATCGTGATAATATTCTACCGATACTATTGAAATTTGAAAACCTCTAGGAAGAAACGTTCGATTTACATGCATTGTTTACATTTTGATGCGTCAAATACATTGTTGTGACTATTCGTTGTAAGCTAGTCACTGATTGGCTGAAGTGTAGACATGGATTTCCCTTTCTAAAAATAGAAATATCGGTCTGAACAGAGGATAGTGAAAACATATTCGAACGATACGCAGGAGAGTACTTAACTGTCAAATGAGCTAACCAATTCAGTTTTATTTTAAAATTGCATTAGGTTAAATAACATTTAATATCACTTTGTCATCTGGTCTATGTACATATATTTATCAAGAATTATTGTTTTAAACGGCGGAACATCTTATTCCTATCAAAAAATGACACATCATTTATAAAAACAAAATCAGTCTTAACAATTTAGTGTAATGATTTTTGCCTAATATAAATTCCCTTGCGGAACACTTCTGATTTTAACACGACTGTGTTGACATAATGATAAGGAAAAACTACAGTGTACATCTAAATCATACTTTAACAATGTTAAAATTCATACTTTAACTTGGAGGTTAGTGCAGTGAATACAATGTAGTCTATCAGGAAGCCAAACTTTTATTTATCCAAATTTTATTACGTAATAGCTGATTAGGTTCTTAACCTTTTCTAAATATTTTAATCCAAATACGCATACAGTTGCAGAACCTAAATTTATAATATTGTAGCTAACTAAATGATTATCAGTCAAAGAAATGTTGGCATTTCGACACACACTTTCTTATCTATTTGAAGCAAGCAGTGTTTATAAAGATTTTTCATTTTTATCTTATACCCTATAGAAATTGAAATGTCCGTTTTCAAAACCCTAAGTTTAGTTACCCGATTACTCTAAGTTACTCAAAGGGTTAATGTATTTGAAATTGGAATTCGGTTAAAAGTTAGCATGTTAATAAATCATACTCATTTTCTTGTTGACGACAGATCGAAATATTAGAATCAGATTAGTATTTTTTTCTTGAAATTCTTTAATTAAAATGAGTGAATATTATAAATTTGTCGTCTACCATTGCTATTTCTTAAATATATCAATTATAATGATTTTTTTTAGAAAAGTTACAACATACAAAATAAGTCTACCTGTCAACATGTCACAAAAGAGTGATGCCGACATTTCGATATATAAATTCCTATTGTTTAGTACAAAGTTCAGAGAATACAGCTGGTATATTTACAATAATTCTTTACTCAATAGTAAAATGTTTGTTTGAAAATAATTGGATTAGAAATTCATATATAAAGTATCATCAGTAATTATACATTATCAAATTTACGTGTGTATTTCCATTCATGTAATAGGGAACAGCATTCGAAACACCTTTCCGTGACTGTAATTTCTGATTTACCTTACCACTTTCATATTAAATTCCCCTTTTAGTGATTAAATCGTTGGTTACAGGCTACTGTGGATTTTAGCACAAATTGTATTAACATTGTTATTAAATATAAATGTGAAATATTATGCAATATTGTTTTGGGTTCCGAAAACAAAACTAAAGGTTTAGCAAAGATATCCTTTTGCAACATTTTTAAATAGTTTGAAGAATACAAATACGCTGATTCTATCAGATAGCATCCCAAAGTATCGGAATACGAGGATAGAAATTAGTGATTAAATAAACTTACATTACGTTTAAAGGGCAATTTTATACCGGTATACATTTAAATGGCATCTGTGACCAATTTACCAAATAAATGACATCATGTAAAAGCAATATTGTATTCAAACGTGTTTATTTAGAACAATGCATTACAAAATATCAAAATTAAAAAAGTGAAAAACAGAAATCATTTTAACAACACATCTGAAAACTGCATACTTAAATTCCACAAGTTCAAATGATAAAAAGAATATGCGGTTACAGTTGCAATTATTATGGTTTAATGTTTTTAGTGAATTATGACGGAAAAAAAACCTTCTCTCATTTATATTTTATTATCTGTTTGCAATTATAAATCATAATAAATAATTCTAAAGAATATTTTAAGCTTGTATACAATTAAACTATGTTCGTTACCTTCTGGTTCAATAAACCTATTTTCCTGCACTTATATGTATCCTAATACTTTATAACTACTACATTCCAAACAGTTCACGATAACGGCTTTACTCGATATGACTGCTACTATCACTAACATATATATTTAACTGGTATTTCTACGCAGAACACATTCAACGATATTTGAGGCGCTCATTCAAATTTAAAATCAAGATTATATTGGGAAGTCAGTTACGTTTATTACATAACACTTGAATATATAACATAAGTGGAATTGAAAGACTCTTTAATCTTTAATCTTTCACTGTTTCATGTCGTAATAATGTTTGAGTTTGACTGATACAAATTATCATTTACGACTATTATTACAATGTTAACTCTTGTAAATATAATTTGTAACTTATAAATGTAAAGAAATTCAGCTATAAGTTTGTCTGCTTCAAACGAAGGGTAGAAACGTGCTCAATGTTTCTTACTTGAAACAAACATATTCATGAAAATGATTTGAAAATTACAGCAATGGTCTACGTTACAATTTCAGCATTCGTTTCTCATTCAACAGAATAGTTACAAAACTCTTAAAATTGAATTAATAAGAAAAAGGTTATCGGTTTGTCATGTTAAAACATCATCTAGAAATTCACACAAGTTTTCACGTACAAAAAGTTGTTATCAGACTATCAGATGTAAATGGTATCAACGTATTTTCCCCAATATTGTCTTCCTCGATTTGGGATTTCAATGTCAGATTTTTTTCTGAACAGTGTTACCAACCAAACAAATATGTGTGATGAAAAAGAAATCTGAAGACGTGTTTTCTTTCTTTTTATATTGATCGCAGTGTAATATGAGTACTGGTATTATAGTTGAACGTCCGTTAGTATATCAGGCATGTTAAGACCGGTTTGAACAGTTACAACCTGAGATTATTAAATATGTAATGATTTAAACTCCTATTATATGTCAATTACTCATTAAGGAAACAAATTTTATATATATATGTAAATGTATGTGTATATTGTTAATTGTAACATGCATATATATTCTGAGAAATAATGTATGTTTGAACAAAACAGTAGCAATATAAAAGGCACCTAAAAGGGCAGGTTTCCTGTAAATGATCAAATTAATAAGCGAATCGATTTTTTAAAAAAAAACTTACCTAAGTATCAAATGACTTTGCAAGATATACTTTGACCTTGATTTCGCTATGTTAGAGATCAATACCATCTGGCGGTGAATTCTAAAAATACAATCAAACTCATTAACCTATATCACAATCTAACGACCTATCTCTATTTGATTTCCCATGTTGGTGATAGATGCGTTACATTTAAAATTTAAATTTAATAGGTTATAGTAATAATATTTGCATTTTAGATAGATTACATGATGTTACGCTTTAAGAGCAAGCATTTCTTAAAACAATATTTCTATACTGGCATACTATGTTAGTAAATATTAAACATTTGTACCATTATAAAGATATTTTTCATAGTCTGGTAACCTTAAAGAAAATATTTTTGAGATCTTTTTCAAATGTTTTTATCAAAATAGAAATATAAAAGTAAAACATGATTATCATCTAGACGTAATTCTAAACGAGAAGATCAAATTCATTGTTTACTCTAGTTCTTGGCTTACGTCTGAGATTGTCTTGATAAATATTAGTATATATCTGATTATTAGTTATGAATATATTGTTATGTATATTCCAGACAATTTTTTTAATAGAACTATCCTTATAAAAGACGATAAATACATTTTATATAAATTAGACAAGCTAGCAAATTGCATTACTAGTATCTGCTCGAATACTGACCAAGATTCTAAGTTTGATATTTTGAAAAATAATGTAACAAAATAAAAATGCTGTCTGCGCATAGACATTTTCAAAACATGTACATTAAGTATGTGGTTAAACACAGGTACAGCCGTGTAAACATCGTGTCAATAAGGATCGATTATATCCATAAATGATTTGATTACATAATGTAAGGATCGATTATGTCCATAAATGATTAGATTACATACGTTGAAAACTCTTTCAGAACTTAATAACATTTATTTTTTATATTGTTTGATTATTTTGTAAATTTTAAAAATACCTTGTTGAACAGTATTTTCCGACATTATGTAACTTTTCTTATCATCAAACAACTATTACATTTATGTACTTCCCATTGTCTAAGGTAAAACCAAGTCCCAATATGACGATGAAATGAATGAAATGAAAATAAATTCAAGTGTAACGAATACTTTAAGCAGTACTTGCAGATAAATAACTTGTTTTTTTCATCAAGAAGTATATCGCATCGATACAAAATCGTGCATTTAATTTTCACTTTGACAAACAAAATTCATGTTATGCTATTTATTCGAATTTAATGTATTATCCATTATTTGTTTCTATTTTTGACACTTTGATACTCTCCGTTTTCCATGTTTTGTGATAAATGTTCACTCCGCTCTTGTCTTATCACTATCAACAAATATACCCACTGCCTGTTATCTTTTAAGTAAAATGATTTAAGTAAATATTTGTTGATCATATATTAAAAATAGCGAAACATAAATTTCAATTGTTTTGATGTTTTATGAAAACAAGAAATACATGTCATTTGTGTACCTTTAGCTCAGTCATGTATTTGGTTAAAGCTTAAACCAAGGCAAACAAAGACAACATTTTTTAACAATGCACATACGAGTGTATATCATATATTACTTAATTTACGATGTACAGAAAATATTTAAATTACAACGACGTTAGTATAATGTTTTTGCTGCTTTTTTATTTGTTTGGTTTAACGGCGCCCCAGCCCAGCCTATGGCATGTGGCGCGGAAACAGGAATGATGATTTTGGCTTATCTCGGGTGTTTTAAACTTAAAGAACCCATTTAGTCGCTTCTTACGATTACGCAGGATGAAACGGTGGCTGCCATTCTACTGCCTCAATCCCTTAAGGCAACCTCTCTACCACAAGGGGTCAGTCATAAGGTACCGGTACGCTATCTTATAAAAGAAATTAAAAGCCCATTTTACCCCAGAATTGCTACCATTTTTATTTTTCAAACATTTTTTGTATTTTGTTACAGTTTCCAAAATTGCATATTTGCCATATACATATGCTATAATTTGTTGATTTTGTTATATGGGCAATTTGTATAATTATGATGAATTAGTACTTTATATGGAAGTCAAAATACTACTACATCACTGGATGTTCAGCGCTACTTGTATGTGTAAGACATTCTACAAATATAACTTAATATGGATTTCGGTGGCTGTAAGAGTTTATGTGCCTGATAATTTATTTGACATGATCTTACATAACTACAAGTATCAATACCAAGGTAACTTAAACACAAAGACATGACATCGTAGCAAACTTTCTAGTTGTGATAATTTAGAGATTGAAATGAATAATACTTATGGTCAGAGAAGCCTTTAAATTACATATATGATATTACACCCTGATAAACAAATTACAGTACAGTTGTGTCTAGTACAATATTGGAATTTGTCATGATTATTTAAAACAATGACGGAATTAAAACCCATTTATGTTTTATAATTTATATGAACTACGTTTAATCAAGACTGATGATTATACTATTTTTGTGGAAAATATCATTTTTCTTAGAAATACACAACAACAACCTAATATGTCCATTGCTAGATCACTATTCTGACCCTTTTATTTGATTAATAGAAGATTGAATCACAAAAATTGACATTAGCTCGTTTGTTCACAATTATGTTGTGGTGAAATTCTTATTGTATCCACTAATCTGATGATAAGAGTTAAACAGGCTATGGTCATGTGTATTATTACATGTTTTTCTATACAAAAATATGAAGTAAAGTAGTTTAATTCATTGTCAAATCTTTTCACAATAAAGGTGAACGCATATGATTATTCTTATCCTAAAGAACAAACTTAAAAACAGTGGACATTTTAAATAACCTACACATAACAACTGTCAAATTACAAACAAAGGAGAAGAATTTCATAAGACATGTTGTCTTTCATTCTAATCCTGTTTTTTAAGAATATTTGAATTGCTCTCTGTATAGTGTAAATTGTAACATGTATATATATTCTGAGAAAAAAAATATGTTTAAACTAAATTACAAACAAATACAAAATAAAATACATGTCATAGGGCAAGTTAACTTAACTTGAGATTCGGCGCACTGTTTATTTTTTAAACGCTAGGAAACTCGAAATGCGTGAGGATATTTATCTGAATGTTTAAATAAAGATTTTTTTTATGTTTTTTAACATATTTTGAAATGTGTGTGTTTTTTCCCCGAATTTAAATGCTTTTTGACAGTCTCAGTCGGACTTATTTCCGTTTTAACTTATCGATTTCTGCTTTAACTCGCTGGTTGACTTTCTTACTCACTGATGCCTGATTTAACTCAATGGCTTTTGTTTTAACTTACTGTCAATATGCTACTTTATATGACAGTTCAAGTTTTGTTAGATGTAAATAACTCTATATCTTATGTATAATTTATAATTTATTCATCTATCAATCTACGTGGTGATTTGAACAGAGAGAAACAAGAATGTACGAAACATTTAAATGACTAAAAGCAATGCATTTCGATCCTAGTTGTTTGATAAAGACAGAGCAATTTAATTGATTAACTGAAAAATAGAGAATCTAGCGTTGCTTGAGATTATTTTCATGAGATGGAATGATATCACGCAACGATTTTTCCTTTTACTTCATATTGTTGTATTTTTGTAAATACAATCAAGGAATAGCATCTATGGATGCTAAAACATGAGACTGTATAAAGTCGAAGAACCATCGCAACCATCAATATTTCAGGACATAAGAATAATTCATAAACAACTTCTTTAACTCCTTATCTATCATACAATACATCATTACAAATTTAATAATATTTGCTAAGCTTTCATTGGTTTTCGTCGGAATATTTTGCTTATTCAAATTCTGCTACAACTATTCCCATATCAATTAATTTCACTTGAAAGTTCTTATGGAAACATATTTAAGGAGAAGGCAGGGACAATATAATGCGATCAGCTGTGTTCATTTATATTTTACAACTGATTTGTTTCTTCTTTGTATTAACGGATGAAAGCTCAAGTCATATTAGAATTGTATAAACAATAATACCATGTTTGAATCAGAGTGCATCCACAAAACATTTTATAATTAAGCTTCTGTTATCTTTCTTACGACAGAAATTCATTCTCAAATAAAAAAATGAATTTTAACTTATAAATTTCCATCCAGCTATTTGCTTTTTCTAATTATTCAATTCTTGAACTATACAGTTGTCAAATATCTATTTGAGATAAGAACTATTCTGTTTAACAGCCATAACGCAAACATAATTAAAGTCATATATTGCAGAAAGTTTCATTAAATCTATTTCTTCTCGGAGATACTCAATTGGAGATATAAGAAAGAAGTAGATGGAGTGTTAGCTTTATTGTCTAAAAACTAAGATTAATATTTCATAACATAATCTTAATATATCTGGGTATATAGCAATATCTAATGAAATATTTTTACAAAATATATAAACAGTAAAATTACATTGTTTCCAAAATGTTATGAATGATTCTTAAAAGAGTTATAACATAAAACGTCTTTGTCATTTAACACACATTAATGTTTTATGTTAACAGTGTTAAATGTTTCGAGCAGGACTTTAACCGTTTAACAATGATTTTATGCATGCACCATTTGATTTTGAGGCAATAAACATCCATTTACTACAGTCATTTTTGAAGTATTTCTTTTTTAAAATTCAAACAATGATATTTAACAGCTTTTATAAAGCTTTATGCACTTTAAAATAAGGTATTTTTGAAAACATTAACTAGCCTACATGTTTTGCTATTATTTTCTTGTTGAAGTGTATGTAAACATGAACATTTCTAAAATGACTCATTGATACAACAAATTATCTCAAAGATTAGATCATTATATTAATATAAGAGTCATAAAAGCATGTAACAGCATTGCAAATGATTTAAAGAGATAAAATATGCAATGATTTGCAAGCAGTTGTTCCAACTTATGATGATAAAAAAGATAAAGTCAGCCGATGAAAATATAAATGTCATCATGTTTAACTGTGAATATCTCTACCTGCATAGCAATTTATTGACACATTAATATTAGATTTGTTTGTAGCAGTTTAGGATCTTGGAGAGTCGGTTTAACAACTTTGATAACAAATACAAAATAAACCGTATTTATAACAATGTAACACACACTTCAGATAACATATATTGGTTAAGATGTGAACTTATAATTTAGATAAAATGTGATAAATCAAAACCGCATGATTAACAATGCCGATACCTGTTTGTGCAATAATAATTTCATGAAAAAATGCATCGCTACAATTGCAATTTTATGAAACGAAGGAAAAAAAACTGCAGCGCTATCTGATCATAAATTGTTAGTTGGTTTATACAGAATTTATTTTAGTTCGATTGTGTAGGAAGCTATAAGCTTATAGACACACTTTCGAATCCGTTCCTGGAACCAACCAGTACTGAGCAATGTGTGTAAAGTTTCTTGCTCAATGAAACAACGACTTGCCCCTGACAGGGTTTGAACTTATGCGGCTAGCGATCATTAGATTACTAGTCCGACGCGTTAACCACTCGGCCATGCCGCCACATCAAATTGTTAGTTGTGTTTCTGAAAATTTGCATTTTAAAGTAAATGAAGTATTTAAATAGAAACAAATCCGACAGAGGACTACAAAGTAAAGAGTGAATCAACGCCCATGTTTCATTTTTCATGATAATAATAATAATATATTTAAGACATTCTACAATATTAAACGTCTTACACTAACACATGTACACACCTCACTATGCTTTTTAAGGAACTTTTTCAGACATCCCTTTATAAGTAAATTAGTAAAATACTAATATTATTTCATATCAAAGGTAGACCAAACTGAAAGAGCTTTATTTCGAAACTTAACAACAAAATATCACAACGTAACTGTTTCATAAAAAAACGTACGCTATTGAAACAATGGTGAAGTGTCTTTTGTTATAATAAAATAAGTTCAATATGAATTATCTTTGACAAAAATTTACTGTCGAAATATATTTGTCTGCCATATATACGAAATATACACGTATTCATTATAATCACCTATATAACTTATAGGTAATTTAAGGTAGTCGATGACTTCTAATCCAGTTACCTCTCTGGCGTGGGTTCGATACCCGGGAGATGCTTTGGTAGTTTAGCGCGGAGGAAGGTAGTCAAGTACTGGTGTAACTCTCCAGGAACGATGGTTAGGAAACTACCTGCCTATATGACTGAAATACTGTTGGAAAAAGACGTAAAATGACACAAACAAACAAACAAAAATAAGGTAGACCATGGGTAATGCATTACCTCCACTTTGAAGAGTATTCAAATAGGCTAGAATCGCTTGTAAACTACATTAAAATTGAGGGGCGTGGGTTCAAACCCCAGAAGGGGCAACTTTTTTTTTCTTTCTTTTTTTCTTTTTAATATTATTTATGTATCTCTCTGATCCCTTGTGGAAGAAAAAAAGTTTGATTTAAATTATATAAT